GGAATAATAGTACACTTGCGCTGTGATGCTTGATTTCATCTCATCTATGCCGCTTAGCGGAAAGGTTCTTTGAAATGGATTTTTTAGCGCCAGACCCAGCTTCGTGCCGCGTCAAGACGCACGAAGAATGAGAAGAATAGGTACAAAAAACTTCACAGGAATCTCTCCTTCAGCATCATGGAGGATCTTTTGAATCTGCCAAACAAACTGCGAGAAACTGAGGTGGGTGTTTCTTATTCTGAAACAAAATCCGTTTTCTCCAATTTTTTTGTGAAACTTGATGTAGGAATGTTACAACTGATCCACGGCCCGATATCTTTGCATGGTTTTTATTTGAAGTTATATTTTAATTGGGTTTGGTAGGCTCCCATCCGTTAGTAGATTAATTTATCTAAACGTCTTTTCTCATTTCAACTACCTATGTTTCATTGCGACGCAATATGCAAAGCTGGTTGCCGTGGCAAAGCCGACGTTTAAAGTTTCTTTTTTAGTAAAGCCGTTGGGATTTGATTCTCACTCTTACTCTCGACTTCATCATTTAACATTACTTGGATCAATTCTTTAAAAGATAGTTTCTCTATGTGATCATTTATGCATGTTGACGGTTTTTTGCTAATATTGATGTCTGGAGGACCCACTGTTAGAGAAATACTTTTCTGCAGTTTATCTATGGTGAGCCCTTGAGAAGAGTTTTGTAATAAAATGCTTTGACAGGGAGTTTAACACTTCATCTTAAAGAGATTATGAGGTAAAAGAAACTTTCTTCCGCTTTTCACACTTTCAGTTGAGGTAAATGACATGACTTTCGGACGTTCCACGATTTCATTTAGCCTAACAGAAGATGACAAAGCCATTTCCAGAGTTAAACTCACCTTTGGGAAATTGTTATTGCCACAAAAATGCATCAATCCTGAAAACACACTCAATTGTCGTGCTTTGGTGCTTTAGAGTATAAGGAGAAAAGGCTTTTTTTTCCAATTCTCAAATAATACAGAAAGTGTCATAACTTTAAAAACTTAAAAAAATCTAACATAATCACAAATTACATGAAACTGCTGATAATTTGAAGTCTTTGTTGGACTACTGGCTTAAAGACGACAACTAATAAGTAGTAATTAAAGCGGAAATTATGTCCATAATCGGTATTTGCTCGTGGATTTCCTGGTTTCTTTAGGTCATCCATCTGGTCATTATTGTCACCAGTCTATTCCAAATAACAATCGCTTACTATAAACGTGTGTACTAGATGATGCAACTGGAAAGGGGCGCAAACGAATACCGGGTGTAACACTCTCAGTTATTTTGTGCCAGTACTGTCCACTCTTCAAAGGTCGTCTCTTTTAAGCACTAAGGTATTAACGGAATTGGTGTGCGTTTTCCATAACTTTGGCCAACCAAGGAATTGCGCTTTCGCAGATTCAGCAAAGGGAAATTGCTTGGGGTTAATTAGTCTAATGGGATTTCCTAACCCCCTTCTTTAGTTCAGCGCCCTCTATGGCCTTCAATCTTTTCGAGCCTCATTGCTTTATTTTTACAAATACAGAATGTAGGCTTTTTATCCACATTTCTATTGTGCTTGCCCTATGTTATGCATCTTTGCTTACACATATTCAAAGTTTACAAATGTTTTTTTTCAGAGGGGATTTTTTCGCACTAAGTGCTATACTATGGTGTTCTTCCTGGTTTTGATAGTCGGTATACACGTTGAGCATTCTGGGTGATAAAAAGCCTTAAGAGGAACCTATTGTTAATTTGTGTTTGATCTTATCCCCGTAAAATAAGTTGAAACGATAATTTCCCTACATCCTCTTCAGTTAGATTGATTTATCTTGTTTGATTTACTTCGACTTTGGTAGAGTGCCCTTCCTTCTGAGAGTTGGTTTGGTGATACCTCCAAAAGCACAGTCCCCTTTCCTGGCGCCATTAAGGCCGCCGATTTGGATGATTCAACTGTTTACAAGTGAGTAATTACCTCTCCTTCCACCATGATAAACTTATGCCTCGATATTCTTCAACCTCAGACATGTCGTGTGCTGCTGCTGAAGAGAAGAGTTTAATGCTACCACGTGGTCATAACTAAGAAATCTTATTTAATCTCTTCAAAATACTTTACAATCACAAATTAAGTGGAACAAATGACTTTTTGTGTATTGTTTGGCTATAGACGTATGTGTATTTTTACAGGCACTAAAATTTTTTTGCATCATTTAATAAGGAACAAGTGGCAGAAATGTCCAGAATTGCACATTTTTTTAAGGACGACCATCGCTCACCTGTTTCTCATTAATTGATGAGAGAAAAAGAGCTCTCCAGGATGCGTAAAGTACAGGGTTACTGTGCCTTTCATATTTTAGAATATTTTACCAACTACACTTAGATTGGGAGGCAATCACCGTTTCGGATATTTTAGTTGGTTTCTTCTCTTTATAACTATTTCTTACTCGAGTTTCAATTGATCTGGCCTAACATGCATGTTTTACTCAGGTTTTAGACTCTATCTCCCTGGCAATCGAAATCCCTGAATATTGGTTCATTGCCAATTATAAAGACAGACGCTTTATTATTTTTTTCATCTAGTCTCCCCGTTTACCTCTACCCCTTACCAGTTTACCGTTCCACTGTAGATATCAGGGAAGTATTTGTGCCTTTGTGAATAATTTACGAGGCACTGGTAAATTACTTGTAAAATTATAAAGCGAGATGACTATCCACCGGTTGTCTTTACTAGGACACAGTGATTCGTCACCGGTGATCGCGGTGTCACCTAGTTCCATATTGGTGTTATAAAGTGGGCTGGTAACTGTTATGAACTGGATTACCAGTTTTTATAACCTGGTGTTGTATACGCGAGTATTTTGGATCATATCGAGACCGCCGACTAAATAAGTGACTGGTAGACCTCAGAGCGGATGTTTTTATTAATCGACTCACTGAGTACGCAGAGGATAAGGTCGGTGCATACGCACCTGGAGGCTACAGGGCAGAAACTCCCTGAGTGAGTCTGTGCGTCGGTGATATCGGTTGTGTATAGTCATAGTAACTAACTAACCTTCGAGTGGTTATTAGTACAGTTAGAGGGCTTCACTGCTGGGTATGGGCCAATTGGTCAGGACTGAGCGAGGGCACCTCTCTAGAGTGTTCGGAGATGTCGTTGATTGAGACTTCTAAAATACTAAACGGGAACGCATTTCTAGGGTTGCAGATACCCCCACCGAATAGTTACCTACAGACCAATTGGTAAAGTGGAAAGCTCATGTGATTGTTAAATGATATCGCAACTTATCTCCTTTTTATACTTGTCACCAAACTGCGACTTTAGTTAAAGCCGTTGTTGATTTAACGTACATTAACCATTTCTCTTATCGTAAGAATAAGCATTTTCAATTTTGAAGTAACAATTTGGAAGGAGCACTCACGCTAAAGCATTAGCGAAACAAACCAATAATTTCTCCGATGGCCAGGTTCAATTACGTATCATGTGTTCCTCATCATTTCACCCAATCGCGTCGCATAAAGGTGGATTGAGTTTAAACTGGTACAATTTCGATAGGATTTTCGTTGTCTGAGGAGGAAACCTACATTTTGCCTAGTTTTGAGCAGGCAACTTTTAACTAAAGCATCTTATGGACCATAGAAGTTGAGTTTCCTCTGCGGCTCTGGCAATGAGCGTGTTAGAAAGATTTCAAGTGAACAGCATCAATTCTTTTAATCTGTAATTCATTATCAAGATAATTGGTACCGTCAGATTCTTTGAAATTGTCTGGTGTAACATACTCTCTTGTCTTCAACCTTTTAAGATCTTAAATCAGAGTTTGGTGAATTGTACAAGCCTTATCTTGACTTGGACGCCTGCAAGATATTTTTGTATTTGCTTAACGAACTATAGGCCCACTATTCCAACTTAAACAGCAATCACATGATTTTAACCACCCAAAGGGACTGTGGGACCTACTTCACTGGAAATCTGGCCACCTTCACCCAGGAAATGTCGAGTCTTTTGGAACTTCTCGGTCGAGAAGTAGAATCGGCATTGGGAAGCGTGCCTCGAAGATGCGCACTCTCAGACCTAGTTCGTCTACCGGTCGCTGAGGCCTGCGCGTGGACGCCTTCTCTTGATGAGGTCCGTGATTTCAACTTTTCATTGAATCCCTTGAGCGATAGTTAATTCTTCCCAATTTTGACTATTTCATTTATTTATCCCTGCACTCGAAGTGTGTTTGTGGTCGTGTAGCTCTCCAATTCGTTGCTGAAGATGTAATAAGCCATTCTGGTATAGCGGAATGGCTTATTATTAGCGTGTGGAAAGGGTAGAGGGCTGCGGGCACGGATAGTAAGCATTGCTACCAAGACGAAGGTTAAGGAACTGCATAGCTAAATATACACTATAATATGGTTTTATTACTTACGTTCCGCTGTAATTCACTTTCACTTGCACCTTTTAGTCTCTTGAGCTTATTTTGAGGTAATTTTATTGGAAAATTATAGAAACTTTGGGAAGTCCTCCTTCTGAAATCCACAGAGTGATACGATTGAGAGCGTCTCATATATTCTTTTCATTATGATAGTAGGGCAGAACTGAGGATTTCGATTTGGCTAGAGCCCATAATGCAGTAAATGTCTCTATTCAGGTGGAACTTGACAGTAGCAACCTGTGAACAAGCGTTTGGTTTTGAGAAAAGCGGTTTTTGTTGAGGATAAGCGAAAACAGCATCTGAATGCAGGCAATAAGTTCGGGTGAACGCCTTCAGTTGTAAAGGCAAATCAAAGCGGTTTCTGTGTAATGTGATGGGATTGGGGCATTTCGGGGTCATTAACACAATGTTGCATTTTACAGGCACCCGTGGTAGCGAAATAATTTATCCTAGCATGATATCTTAATCCTTCTAAATGCTGTCAAGTCATCGAGTTAAATACACTTTTTTTAGGCAAACGGTATGTAGCTCTAGGTGCTCAATTGTTTAATTTTACTCACATCCTATTTAAAAATAGCAAAATAATTTGTGATATAATCAATGAGCGGTACACTCCACAGTATATATCCTATATCCTTTTATTACCAAATGACATCACTGGATTGAGTGCATTCATTAGGTTGGTTCCCTGGTCAATTCCTTTCTAATACGTAATTTCCTTTCATTTTGTCAGAGATGGTTGATAAAAGGATGCACTTTTTCTCTTTAGCCTAGTTGAATAGCATTATGTAGTCCAATCTAAAATCACATCAGTAAAATCGTTACTTATTGTACTTATTTTTTTTTGTCAAAGGTGATACAAATCGAGCATACGAAAGATGATGTCTTCATTCCCAAGGAAGGGGGACAGCCACTCATCAACCCCTATACTCGACTTTGTCTTGTTGGTTCAGCAAGTCTAGCCGCATTTGTCGGTACGTATCGATATAGTCCCATGATTATCCTCATACATGTTATGTGATTGTGATGGCAGATTACCATTCACGTTGGCTCTGTTGAAATATTCGAGTAGTCATTTAATGTATTTCTATATGTGGAAGGATCTTAAGCAGTATATTACCACTAATTGATTTGAACTTCGCTTGTTTATATCAGCAGATTGCTCGCATAGCCGTGAATTGTTCAGTAGCTTCATCCGCAAAACACACTTTAGGTTAATCAAAACATGATGAGCTACATCTTGATTTCTTTAAATCATAATTTAACTTGGTCAGGTCCGATTCTTATCCGCATTCGTGTGGTCTCGTGTCGCATTATTTGTTCTTGCGTTTACAAAGGAAAAAAGTGTTTTACTGCTGTTTTGTCTCAAGGTTCCTTTTTCGGATGCTGTCTGGATAAAGAATGTCCTCTACCGTTGCATTTCCTCACACTGGGAAACATCTACACCTACGGTATGCAAAAAATGTTCATTTGATACGACCACTGCCTTCTCTAGCGGGGAAAAGGGCTAGCATATTACTGTCTTACTACAAAGAGTTCTTAGTAAACAGCAACACTGAGCTGCATGCAAATACATGGTTAATGCTGAGAACAAGGCTCTGTCTGCTAAACTTAATCTCCTCGAATGATGGTTTGCTCTCATCGATGCCTTTTACCTCGTCGTTGACAATTTTACGCACTTTAATTCCGCTTAATGTCAGACCGATAGCTCATGGTAATTCAGTACCTTAATCTCCACACCCATTGGTTCTATGTATTTGAATTTTATAGCATAAATCTACTGGCATTCCATCCATAAATCCTTCGTTTATTGTTTGCAGATGCTATTTAACTCATTTGCCGATAAAAAATTGGAAACTTGCTCGTAATTTAAGCTTATCAACCCATATTTTTCCCAGTTCGCTGAACTTGTCCCATTTAATTTTCAGCCTCCGAAGTCAAGAAACCAATAGGGTATCCCTTTAAACAAACTCGCCAGGTACGATAAATTATGCTATTGTAGCTACATGTGACATGCCTTTTAGCCTCTTCCCATAATTTTCGATTGTTACGTGTCTTAGTGAGCTAAACATTGAAAATTGATCAAACGCAAATAGTGCATTTGAAGACAATGGTTTGGTTAGGGAATTGTTTTTTCTCTTGATAGGCTAAAAATACGCCTTTATTTCACGCCTTCTTTGGTAAGAATGAGGGTGTCAAATGAGGAAAGGCTGAGATGGTTGCACAGTTCAGTGGGACTTTTTACCATATTTCATGCTACAATAGAATAACTATTCAACGATACACATGGCTACGGCTCCCAAGGCAACTCCTCGAAATACTACCAATTTTAAGGCGGCTATCATCCTCTTATATTGTCTTTGTTAATATCGACGATTCCCTTCAGCTAGTAGTTTGTGTTCTCTGTTAGGCAAGGAATGTGCTCTTGAGAAACTTGTTCAAAGATATATTATGGTTTATAAGAGCTACACTGTTATCTCATTTCATTACTGTGGATTAGTTGAAGCCGTCTTTTTTACGTGGATTAAAAAAATACCAAGATTATCCTCACATACTTCAAGGCATAACATTTGACGAATCATCCACAACGTTCCATTTCGTAGTAAATAAGGGCTCCAGACATGGTAGTGATGTCTTTAATGTTTGCTGCTGTGATATCGTAAAAAAAGTGAACAGACAACTAACCAGTTAATTGATGCGTAGGTGCACTATTTTACGCAGTTAAATTAACTGGGACTTATGCACAGTTTAAAACAGTTTCTCCGCAGCCCTTCCTCATTATCTTAACTTATATG